AAAAAAGGTTTTATCATGCCGAAAGAAATGGGAAAGAAAAACGCTGTGTATACCATGAGAATGGGAAGCTTTGCTGTGTTCAAATGAGAAATTCGGATATAAATACGATTGAAAAAACTGCTTCTGGACATGCACCCTTCAGTTCTCAAGTAAGCTCCACAGGCAGAGGTAGGATAGTACCCTCTGGTGCTGCTACCACACACCCAACCCGGGATTAAAACCCGAGCTCTGTTCTCGGTAGCAGTGCCAGGAGCCACTATCCTACCTCTGCCTATGAACCCAAACCTTACATCTGACAGGGTCAACCAAGTTTTCCATTGCTCGGGGTCAGTCAATAGTTAGAAGACCTAAAAGACTAATTTTTGGAATTCTTAGGTTTCGTCTGACCTTGCAATGATGGTTTCGTCTGACCTTGCAATGATACAAACGAATGGCCAACCTGCTCTTGTCGATAATTTAATTTTTCCCTCCTTGCCTTGGTTACCCGTTTGTGGGGTATCAGCCACACCTTTCTTTTCGGCCAGTAAACCAGCTCCAAATAGATCGTGTGTTGCAAAACTTTTTTACGCAGCTTTGCAGAAGTCTTCGGAAATATCCCCGGTGACACTCAAGTATAGCACAAGAACCGGTGACGTACACACCCAAAAGTGTCCGTGTTATGACGGTTTTGTTTAGAGTGTAGAGTTCACAATGGAGCGTTGAACGCCGACGAATATTACGCTAACGTGGGAGGCATCCGGTTACAGACACACAAAACATACGGTGGCCCTTCCTTACTACTTTTTGGAATTAGTATTTCTGAAAACCCTCGCTTTTTGCGCTTTCAACGCTGCTTTCGTACCATTCTACACCACTATTTCCATTATTGCTTTTAAGTTAGATACATTAAAATTATCAGAATATCGTCACTCCACTTTGGCTCCTTAGGGAAGGCGGTGGTGCGACCATTCCCATCGCGCCGCCAATTCGACGCGGTTTGAGACAACTCGTCCAAGTGATCGTACAACCCACTGCCTCTTCAGGTGATAGAAGCCCGATCGATGACGCCGCTACTATTAGACGCCGAATTGCATATCTGCTTGTATTCTGCCTTTCTACATCGGCTAGTTGGCTTTTTCATGGTACCTGGACGAGTTGTCCGTCTCCCAAACCGTGTCGAACGGGCGGAGCGATGGGAGGGATCGCGCCAAACGGCATACACCCCTCTTTAGCTCTGAAAACACTGACTACTACGAATACAGTAATCTTAAAGACTTTCAAATTTTTGGGCAGACTAATTATGCATTCCGATACCCTTACCATTCTAAATGGTGGTCAACATTGAACTGAAAACTGATGGGCTTTAAACTCGTTGTATTATCAACCAAGATTATTTCTACTTGTCGCAAATTTTGTAAAAATAATTCTTTACAAAGGAATCAAGCGGCATTTTTTAGAGCAATGCGCTGGTGGCATATTGTATTCATTGCTGTTATGATCATCCTAAGTGTCGCTCAGGTTAGTTAAGAGCCAAACTATTTCTTTGATGACATGTGGACAAGAATGCTTGTCGAGTCTTCAATGTTAGCCCATTAGCATATTCTTCATTCAGACTAGCACTGCAGACGAGCACCGTAAGCGTCGAGCGATTAACATACCACTATATCGTTCGTTTGGTCCATCGATTCCACCACAGTAGGATCTATGGACAGGTTAACAGAGTACTTTGAGAACTGCTTATCATCTTTTGATGTTGTTTGAGCCTTTGCTTTCACCCATTAACAAAGATCTATCCTGGGATGTTCGTCTCGACAATAGTTCCCCGTCCAATGATGTGGGATGGATATATTTCCCGTGTTCGAACCTACAAGTCCATTTTCTTAACTGAGCTTCGGTTCCATTCACAGACTCGCTTAGACCGAGAATGAATTTCGTGACACAGACATAGTAAACAGTAAGTGGGACGCGAAATAGACGAGGGCTTAGATTCAAAGGGGTGTATGTCGTTCGCGACCCCGCCCATTTGAGGGGTGAACCGCCTC